GCAATGAATGGACGCCAAGGCAGTTATGACACAGAAAAATATTCAAACACAAAGGAGTAATGAAGAAAGGTACAGTATATAGACAATAAAAGATGGCTACAGGAGGCTGAACTAGAGAAGAAGGATAAACGTCAACTTAGGATTTGGAAATCGTCACATCCTTGGCATGTGTTAAAACTCCAGCTAGCTATTAGCATAAAGCCTAACTGAAAGCATGAAGAAATAGGCAGGAGCAGTTATGGGAGGTGAATTACTTTGTACAGATAGCCTCGTTATTCTAACACTGAAAGGCAAGGGGCCTGTCCAGTTAGTTTTATACTCATCAACTGGATACATTCCTTTTGTTCTAATCTAAGTGTTTGTACAGATGAAACACTAAGCATTTATTTAATGGCTGACACATGCCATGCACAGTGAACAATATCTGTTCTGAATAAACATGTATAAATATATGTATATAAACAAAAATATACACATGTGTACAAACATAAATATACACATGCATACACACATGCATATACAAATATATAAACACACATAAATACATTCATGTACACAAATATCCACATGTACACACAAACATAAACATATATGAACACATACACACAAACATACATATGTGCACATGAGTAAATATACATATGTACACTCAGAAACATACACATGTATATGCAGTCTGCCAGCCAGCCATTTCTATCTACACTTTTTATAGTCTTTTAAAGTGAATTATGAATCTTTCTGCTAGTACAATAATTATAATTTTTTAGACATACATGCTTCAAATCTAAAAATCATTAAATTTTTTGTTGCTATTGAAGAATCCAAAAGTAAGATTTTATTAATGGGCAATTACTAAGAAGTTAAAAAGAAAACAACTTTCTTTTTACAGGGAGAAGAGATGTAACTGTGTCTCTAATATAAAGTAGAAGACAGATTTGATGAAGAGAATTACTTGCTGAAGACGACCACTTACTTATTCACAAAATGAGAAATCATTGACATGCCACTACAGGGGGCTGAAACTTTAATGAAGGCATGGTCTCCACCTGCTAAGAAATGGCACTACTGTATAGTCATCAAGAATACCGATCATAAGAAATCACTGGGATTGTCTTTGACTGGAGAGGATTGTAGTTGAGTAGAATTTGGGTTTAAGCTTATATTCTGTAAGTTTAATGGCATTTTAGAGGCACAGAAGTAAAAAACCCACTATTTGGAAAGAGGTCTTAGAAAGAAATGCTGATGAGTCGGGACCTCACTAGTGGAAAAGAAGCCTGTTATGAAACCTTCAGTAGGTAGAGTCATTAAGTACTTGATGAGGCAATGAGACAAATGCATCCAAATCACACTTTTAGGTAGCTGAATCATGGCATTAAAAGAAATTTATCGGTTACATGTTTTTTTTTCCAGCACATTTTATGTACCAGATGTGAATCTGAGTATATAAGGTCTATCTTAATTCTAGACAGGTGGCTGGTGGTAAACAAATGATCTGAGACAGTGATGAATGTAGTGGAGAAGATGAAACAAAGTTATGGGAACCTGACTGGGGGAGGAACACTTCAGCAAAGGTATTCATGAGAAATGCTAGCCAAATAAATGGTAGCTTGTACAATGACAAAAGCCAAGAGAAGCTCTGGTAATGAGGGTGAGGGCCAGGAACACAAGGGATAGAGGAGAAAGAACTCAGCATCATCAAATGACAGGAAGGCATGGAGGGTAGGGATGGGATGTGGGGAGAGATGAGAGCGATGAGGGCCTGGTCCTCTGTAGGCCACTCTAAGTTTAGTGCTCATTTTCCTTTTAGAGTAGTCAGCTAATTTCAAGTCACTGGATGATGCAACCCGACTTTTATTCCCGTCAGCTATGTGAAGAATGGCCTCTAGGGCAAGACTGGAGGTGGAAAGCTGGTAAAAGTGGTGGCTTTGACTGCTCTCACAGTGACAAGGCTGGGGGACTGCTGGAATCCAGACACAGAGCCTAAGATGACAAGATTTGAAAAGGATAAAAGTTGATTGTGTAGGACAGAGTGGAGCCAAGGATGCCTTGGGGGATTCAGTTCTACACCATGCCACAGATGATGGTGAGTGATATGAAGGGATGATGAAAACTTGGACAGCGATGCTTTGGGGGTGTGTGTATGTGTGTGTGTGTACGTGTGTACATGTGCCCAAAAAGTCAACAAGTAAAGCCTTCTACGGTCAAGTTAAGGTTGAAATGTTCAGATGCTAAGTAAAATGTAGACCGCGGGTTAGACAGTCAAACTCAGTGTCACAGACTAGATAAAATACTGTGCAAGTCATGAGCCTCTCCCCAGTTTCAAATAACCAGATTATATGGCACATTCTTTTTTTTTTTTTTTTTTGAGACAGCTCTGTGGCTTTGGAGGCTGTACTGGAACTCGCTCTGTAGACCAGGCTGGCCTCGAACTCACAGAGATCCGCCTGCTTCTGCCTCCCGAGTGCTGGGATTAAAAGCGTGCGCCACCAATGCCCGGCTAAATGGCACATTCTTGTTTGTTTCTACATGAAGATTTAAGTAGTATAGCAACATTTTTTTTTTCTGTTTTTAAAAATCTGACTTTATTTTAGCTGAGCAGTGGTAGTGTATACTTTTAATTCCAGCACCCAGGAGGCAGAGACAGATTTCTTGAGTTCCAGGACAGCCAGGGTTACACAAAGAAATCCTGTCTTAAAAAAAAAGAGAGACATTATTTTATTTTATGTGGAGGCAGGTGTGTGTGTGTGTATGTGTGCACACACATGCATGCACTATGTGCATACAGGTGCCTACAGAGGTCAGAAAGATGAACTGGAACTTGTTATGCAAGTAGTTGTGAGTCCATGTGGGTGCTAAGAATTGAGCGACATCTCCAACCCTGATTGCTTCTCTTCTTTAACAATGTATTTTATGTACATGTGTCTGTGTCCAAGTTTATGCACGTGTACCACATGCACGCCTGGTCCCCACAGAGGTCAGAGGAAGGCATTGAATTCTCTGGAACTCGACTTAAAAGATGGTTGTGAGCCACCATGTTGGAGCTGGGAATCAAACCTGAGTTAGTATAGCAACATTTTAAAGAAGAGAAATGAAGAATTGCATTTTGCTTAATGTAGATAAATAATTTTGGCTTTTCTATGATAAAGCATAGCCAGCCTTTTGCATCATGATTTAACTGTGTGATTTCCTATGTAGCATCCCTGTTTCCTTTGTGTTCTCAGATAGTAAACACTGGCTTCTCCATTGCTCAGAAAGCAAATCTGATGTATTTGAGTACATACATCAGCTCTACTGTACTAATGGGAAGTCTAGAAACAGCATAGTTCAAATAGCTGGACATTGTCATCTTAAAAAGCTCCTTTCCTTAGGAAGGAGCCTTGGAATTCTTTATACTTATGAGCAAACTTAGAAACAACGCTAAATTGTCAAGTTCTACAGACATCCTAGTATATAATGTAAGCATGTTAAGTATCAATGTGACTCCCCATACCCACATACAATTTGACATGCGGAAACTGAATTCTTATATTTTTGGTTGTGAGCCTAGCCTTTAATGGCTGAGCCATCTCTCCAGCCTGGAAACTGAATTCTTAAGGTGACAGCATTAAGAGATGTGGCTTTTGGGAGATAATCAGGTCATGAGGATGGAACATTCATAAGGGGGACTGGTTTTTATAATAATGGGTGATGGTCAGGGCTCTGTGTCATGACATAAGAAGGTGTCATATATGAACCAAAATGCAGATAACAAGTTGTCAGCACCCTGCTCTTGGGTTTTCCAGCTCTAGAACTTAGAGAAATGATTTCCTGCTGTCTGTACATCAGTGTACAGTATACGGTGCTTTGTAATAGTAGCCTGCTAAAACATTAAGCAGTTAACTTAAGCAGTTCTGGTGGTTACTTCCTTAGCCTCAAATGCATCAACTTCTATTCCTATTATAGATGGTACTCCGGGGCGGCTCTCGCTGTAAGCTTGAAGTGAACTAAAACTGAAGAGATCAAGGTAGTTCAGGATAAAAGCCAGACAGCTTTCCTTGTTCCTGCATCTCTTTCTGTCTTCACTATCTGCCCAGTTCTTGTACTATGTCTTAGGTATAGTCAGTGTTTAGCAAGTATTTGTGGAATGAATGAATGAATGAAAAATGAAGGCAGGTAAGTTAAAAAAAAGATGTTTCTTCCTATTCATCAATTTAAATAGGTTTTCCCTTAAACCTATTTTCCTTAAAAGTCCCTTAAAATAAATTAACTTTCTACTTATAGCTCATTACTAATTAATTAACTGTAATTAATGTATTCACTTATCAAACCCTTTGGATCTCCTACTCTGCATTAGGCACTGGGGATCCCGCGCTAAAGCAAACAGCTGGATCCAGCAGGGCTCTCCTGGATGCACCACCACACAGAAGGCTGCACAAGTGCGGCCAGTCTTCCGCCTCAGCATTGTGCCACTATTTCACATTCCCTTCAGTCCTAAGGACGGTGGCTTCAGTGACTAAACACTGCCAATAGAGTGTGCAGACAGCGTCCTAACACACTAACATCTCCTCCAGAAGAAAACAGTCTATTCATGTTCTGGCTTTTCTCCAGAGCAGTCAAGAAGTACTCTCTGATACAGACATAGACAATGGGATTCTCTACAGGTCATATATTATCTATTCAAATGTGCTGGGGGAAAAACAAAAACACTTCAAAATAGTCAAAATGTTCTAACTCAGGAACTCTATTCCTCTCTTTAGTCTCTTCCTTCCTAATTTCCCTTTCTCCCCTTTCCATCCTCCCTCTCTTCTTTTCACTATCCTTCTCTTCATTTCACCCCCTCCCAAATGTTTTCCAATTCTTACACTAGAAAATACATGCTACTTGGGAAGTCACTCCCCATACTGCGCATTGCAGGCTTCCATAGACCACCTGCTTCTTGGTGTGAGTTAAGCTACCATTTAGCCTCAGGAAAATGTAGAATCAGTTCTGCTTCCAAAGGATTCTTACTGCATTTCACTTACCTCCAAAGACTGGCTGTCTTCTGCTTCAGAAGGTTTACATCTCATTTCATTTGCTGTATCTCCTATGCAGCAAAAAAGAGAGAGAGAGAGAACTGTTCTGTTATGACCAATTGTCTTCTGTTTGTTTGCAGTACCGTTTGTTACTATACGTTCTGTGTTGTGGAAGAGACCACTGTTGCCCTTGTTACAAGGTAAACAAATTAGTTTTTTAAGAATAAAATATGTTTTAACCAGGTCTCGTGAATTTCCCATAAACACACACTGAAATGTATCCTGCTTTACCTAAGTTTACAATGAAAATCAATCCATACCGTGTATACCAAGTCATATTTTAAACAAACTAAGAAAGCTATGACTTACTTTGGAAATCAGTATGGTGGTTCCTCAGGAAAATGGGAATCAGTCTATCAAAAGATCCAGCAATTCCACTCTTAGGCATATACCCAAAAGATGCACAGCCATACAACAAGGATATCTGTTCAACTATGTTCATAGAAGCATTATTTGTAATAGCCAGAACTTGGAAGCAACCTAGATGCCCCTCAGCTGAAGAGTGGATAGAGAAAATGTAGTACTTTTACACAGTAGAGTACTACTCAGTGGAAATAAACAATGGAATCTTGAAATTTGCAGGCAAATGGATGGAACTAGAAGTCATCCTGAACAAGGTAATCCAGTCACAAAAAGACAAACATGGTATGTGCTCCCTCATATGGATTTTAGACATAGAGCAAAGGATTACCAGCCTACAATCCACACCGCCAGAGAAGGTAGGAAACAAGGAGGACCCTAAAAGAGACACACGTACATGATCCTCTGGAAAAGGGGAAAGGGACAAGCAAATTGGGAGCATGGGGAGAGGGGAGAGGGAGTTAGGAGAAAGAGAAGGGAAGAAGAGGAGGAGAGAGGAGGACATGAGGGAGCAGGAAGGTTGAGTTGGAAGAATAGAGGAGAGCAAGAAAAGAGACATCTTGATAGAGGGAGACATTATAGGTTTAAAGAGAAATCTGGCACTAGGGAAATGTCTAGAGATCTACAAGGATGACACCAACTAACAATCTAAGCAATAGTGGAGAGGCTACCTTAAAAGTCCTTGCTCAATAATGAGATTGATGACTACATTTTATGCCATCCTAGAGCCTTCATCCAGTAGCTGATGGAAGCAGAAGCAGATACCTACAGCTAAACACTGAACTCAACTCCTGGAATCCAGTTGCAGAGAGGGAGGAGTGATAAGCAAAGGGGTCAAGACCAGGCTGGTGAAACCCACAGAAACAGCTGAACTGAACAAGAGGGAGCTTGTGGACCCCAAACTGATAGCTGGGAAACCAGCATAGGACCAACTCAGACCCCCTGATCGTGGGTGTCAGTTAGGAGGCCTGGGAAATCTATGGGGCCTCTGGTTGTGGATCAGTATTTATCCCAAGTATACCAATAGACTTTAGGAGTCCACTTTACATAGAGGCATGCTCTCTTAGTCTAGACACACGGTGGGAGGGCCTACGCCCTGCTCCAAATGATGTGACAGACTTTGAAGATCTCCCATGGAAGGCCTCACCCTCCCTGGGAAGCAGAAAGGGGATAGGAGTCAGAGGGGGGGCCTGGGAGGAGGGGAGGGAGAGAGAACTGGGATTGACATGTAGAACAAGCTTGTTTCTAATTTAAATAAAAAAATCCAGAAAAAAGAAAGCTATGGCTTGAAGACAGGAAAATTATTTTAAAGTACAAATTTATGACACGAGTAATTATTTTCCAGATTTGTTTTTGCAAGGTTTAATCTTTATGTTTTTCTGTCCCTGTTGATTAAAGTAGATATGTATGATTCTGTGTAACAATAAACCAAGTGGAAGGCAATGTTCCCAGCAGGAAAGAACAAAGAACAAACACATAAATAGCTTTCAGTTAGCACCGTGATTTCTAAGTCTGGCGCCTTACTAGACTCTATTACTAAATTACTTTGCATAAGCTGACTTACAGGACATAGAATGCATACATAGTTGAGCAAATATAACAACTTATTAATGGCCTACTTTAATATGCTTATTACTAATAGTGATTGGCACATTATCAGTACACACCCAATTAGCTTATTTTTCTGAAGCATAATCAGAAGCTAAGTTAGTAATTTGTAAATTGTTCTTCCCATAAAATTAGGTCATTTTAAGAATGTACGTAATAGTGAAATTGCCACACTTATGTATGGTGGTTAGACATAAATTGAAGGTAAGGAATTTGTTAATGTTAAGGAATGTTATAAGCAGTGACTAAAAATAAGTCATGAACATCTTTACTGAGGTAAACTTTTTCTATGAAACACAAACATTTAGTCATCAGTGATGGCAATTACAGAGAAGGCTCTTAAAAACCTACACAGAACTAAATAAACTTTGTTATATTTGAAACCATGAACAGTTTCCAATGATAGTTAGCATGCCCAAATGCTTCACTATAGACTAACCAATGTGCATTTCCGTCTGATGGTCATGTTTTCAGTTGTATGCAGTATGACTGTTTCTGGGCAGGACTCACAACAAAAATAAGGTATTCAATGTTTATTGGTTCAACGAATTAGTGAATTTCTCTTCGTAGTATTTCACCTATAAATCTTTGGCAAAACACTTAAAGGTAGCTAATTAAAAAAAACAATACCTTACTTCTAAAATTTGTGCAATTTAAAAGGTAACTCTATGAAGTATTACTTTGACATTTTGTTATTTGTAACATAATTATGAGATCATTTTTAAGTTTTAAAATGTTAATAGTATTTTTCAAAATTTGTACTGCAAGAAAACCACTACTAATTTGGTTTGTATATACTAGCTGTAAATTTGTTAAGTTGTAATCTGGGATGTCCAAAGCTGACTTTCTATGTGGCAGTTTACAGTACTCACACACTGACACATCGAAAAGAGCCTTATCCTTAGCAATTCCATCCTCTGTCAGGATCCACCCCCAACACGTAACTGGAGAAACCAGAGTAGAAGGAGTTCAGTTTGCTTGACTACAGAAAAGCACACGGCAGCATTTGTAACTATCAGGATACAAATATATGTACCCTGTTAATAATGCACATAAAAATCCAAACACAATATATAAGGAGTAATGATAAACTCATTGTGAAAGCTGACTCACTGTACAAAAGATTATTCATTTAAAATAGTTACCACTTACTTAACCCATAATCGACACTGCATTTAGCTGGAATTATCCATTACAAAATCTATGCTTCCTTTGCCATTTTCTTGTTTCAAGGTGAGTACACAAAATTTTCCTCTATTTTTCCCAACTGCCTGAAAAGCCAGAAAGGTTATCAGCCAGTGTTCTTGAAAGCACACGACACATCTGCCTGGAAGCAATGCAGAGCACTATTTACTGAAATGCCATGCTGGGTGATGACTCAGATAGGGCAATCGCTGATTACAACGGAAATTGCCATCTGCAAGATTATTTCTGCAAACAGAGGCACAAAATGATGTGGAACACAACAAAGGAAAAGAACAGGTCACAGAGAAAGAAATATGCTTTTGAATTTTTTCCAAATGGAATTATTTTATCATGATGAAAAATTCAATTATTTTGTATAATCCACTTAGAAGTTAGATACCATAACAATAAATAAAACCAAATATGAGAAACACAAAGTAAGATGTTTTAGTTTTGAGATACCACTTTCGCTCTACAGGCTACGTAGACTCCAAAAGCTCATTTTCAAGTCATCCATTTAGAAGAAGAAAATCCTCTAAGGTTTTCATAGTAATTTATCTTTTGTAAAACTGTCGATGACTGTTGGTCTGCCATGGTATTCTCTCCCCATCTCTCTTACTTGACAAGCAAGTAAACTTCAAGGGATACAGGCACTTAGTGACCTGCCCTGGGTCTTCTGGAGGGGAGGCAGCCATATATGTGGCAGAAGAATCCGTTTCCAGAGCTGGTATAGGTGTGAAAGCCAACTGGTCTGAAAAGATCTGACGTCAGGATATGGAGCTGGTGCACTCCCCTAATCCTATTCTCCTGTTCCTTCTTGTCTCACTAAGCTCCACACATTGTGAGTTTTCTTCTCTTCCAATGGCAATGACAAGCACTTCCAACCAGAGTTAGCCTCTGTCCTTCCCTTTAGTGTACAAAGGAAACATACAGTATCCATGGTGTTTATCCAGAGTTTTAAAGACCAGATATAGTTTTACTATTACTAGAAGCAAAATTGCTCTATTCTATAACATGTCAGTTTCTTTGTTTGACAATGTAGATTTTGTTTTCAGTAAATAATAAACGTTGCAAATCCTAACACGGCTCATTCAGATCTTACAGGACTAACGTGAAATAATTTATTTAGAGGTTTGCCAATTCTTGTTGTGAAAAACTAGGTAGTAAACATGTTGGGCTTTGCAGGTCATATGGTATCTGTCACAACTTCACAACTCTACCATTGTAGCCAAAAGCAGCCATAGATACCATGTGTGCTAATAAGTGACTATGATCCAAGACAATGTTATTTATGAAAACAGCTCGCAGGCTGGAGCATTTACTAATCCCTGTTGTAGAGGACTATGAGCATTTTCTCGGGCTAAAAAAAAAAAATGGAAAAACGTTACAACTCTTCAAGGAGATGAGAAGGTCACTGGAGCACCATTATGATTCCAATTCTACTGCTGGAAGCTGGGGGTGGAACAAAGTGAGCACTGGACCTAAGGGAAAGGTAGGAAGTGGAGACATGTCCAGGCATGGGAAGGAGGCCAAATGTTCCCTTGGTTCACCCAGAGGAGCCTTGTACAGAGGGTTTGGTGGTAGACAATTAAGGTAACAGACCTATGGTTCTCACTTCTTAGGCCCCATTATCACTCGTTCCTAGCCACTCTTTACTTTGTGGATTGGTGAGTTTGGGAAGACCTGGTTCTATATGGTTTCTTTAGTTTCTCTTGATAAAGGACAGTCACAGAGAACATGCTGTTCTGCCGAGTCCTCTTTCCAGTGTGGAAAGCCTGGTCCAACTCAGCATATCCTGCAACTGGGTGGAAATCAGTCTTACTATGGGATGCACATTAAGAAGCCCATTTGCTTCTTG